CAATTGAGAATTTATTTGTGGCTGGACTTGAAAAGGACTGCTCACTCACAATCCCTACGTAACCTGAAGGTTTTGCAAAGAAGAATGGACTAAAATTGCAGCATCTAGATGTGCAAGACTGACTGAGACCTACCCAGACAGGCTCAGTGCTCGTACTTAATGCTGACTTGAAGTGTGTGAATACTTATATATGTTTATTTAGCCAACAGCTTTTTTGTGTATCTGTTTTCACTTTGACATGAAAGAACCTTTTTTTTAGAAATTCTTGTCAAAAAAAGCCAACTGATATTAACCATGACTCCCGTGGGATGGTGAATACTGTTTGTAGGCACTTTACATGATTAAATTAAATTATTAGCGAGGCTTGTATGAAAGTAAAGCAGTAAAAGAGTGCAGCTCTGTCTTATACTTGAGGTGTTTTCAGTGCTCGAGGCTGATTAAACTTCACACAAACCCTGTTCCCTGCTGTCACGAAGAAGACTCTGCCGCTTGTCCTCCTTCCCCTCCTTTTGCTTTTAATGTAGAGGTTGTCAATCTTGTGGACACTGCTGTAATTACGCTGTCTCACAATTAACCCGGCAATGATTCATTGATGTTAAACACCTTCTTTCAGTCTCTCCCTGTGCCTTCTCCATTCTTGCCCTCTGTTACCTCTCCTTTGTCTCCGTCCTCCCTCCTTCGTTTGCTCTCCCTTCCTGCCCTCCGTCTGCAGCTCTTTTCTCTTTTCGACAGGATGCCGTGTTGTATAATCGTGGCCTCTTTGAACAGGCAGCTCCTTTTCTCTGGAGGCAGTTGATTCATCCACAAACAGGTTGTTCCCCGGGAAGACAGGACGGGAAGGAATCAGTATATTCATGATCTTTTAAAACCGTGTGAAGCTGAGAATGATCGAACAAGACAGAGACGAGTGAGGGAGGCCACCAAGACACATATGACTCTGAAGGAGTTACAAGCAGCTGAGATTAGAGGGACTGTGCAAACCACAGCTGTTCTTCACCAGTCAAAGCTTTATGGAAAAGTGATAAAGAGAAAGACACTGTTGAAAAAAGCTCATCGTAAATCTGGACTAGAGTTTACCAGAAGGCATGTGGGAGACTCTGAAGTCAGCAAGAGATTGTTTCCTGGGTCTGATGAGACTAAAATTAAGCTGTTTGGCGGACACCAAACGCTGCACATCATCACAAATACACCAGACCCACTGTGAAGCACGGTGGTGGCAGCATCATGATGTGGTCCTGCTTCTCGGCAGCAGGTCCTGGAAGGCTGGTAAAGGTGGAAGATACAATGAGTGCAGCAAAATAAAAGAAAACACTTGATGCCAACCTGATGCAGTCTAAAAGAGAGCTGCAACTTAGGAGAAGATATGTTTTCCAACAAGATGACTTGATGCATGAGAAGCTGAGAG